CTATTGGTACTTTTACAATCAGTAGAATTTCATTTTCGTCTATACTTGTAACATGCTTTGTGCACAATTTATCATTGCAGATAGATATGGTTGAAATCAAAGAAGTTTATTCCAAAATGTACCAGCGCAGTTTGGCAGATGACATGCATAAATATTGCACTGAAGATGATCTGAGAAATATTTTATTGTCTCTCATTAAAGGTACTCAAAATTTCTCTGTATGATTATGTAACGTTATCCCAAAACGCAATATCTTGTGACTAAAGCCGTGGGTAAACGAGGAATTTTTCCATGGCGAAAACAAGTTTCATTTGTTCGTGTGCATGCACGGCGAAATATACTCAATTTTTTTTAGTTGACGAGCATATCCTCGCGTAAAAACTAGTCCTGCCAGTTTTTGACGAGGAAAGCATATTTGACTTGGCTGTTTTGTATGTCTGACAAGAAACTTATTAACAAAAAAAAAGCTCGGAATAATAAAACTTGCAAGGAAAAAATTGTTGACTGTACCCACACGAGCAAGGAAAATTTGCCGTTGTTTGTATATGCCATGAGTTGTAATTGAACGTTGAACGTTTTCCTTTTCCTTTTCATTAGAATGGAATCTGGATGAAGAGGTAAAATCATGAAAAACTACTATTTCTGTCATTAACTAGTTCGATGTTGTAATGTTGTATCTATAAATATCTGCTTTGTGTTTTAGCCCAAGCCTCAACTAACCCTCCTGCCAGAAATCGTTTATCATCCCACTGTCGTGACGTCACCAAATTTTGTCGCCGAAAACGATGCGAATACTGTTAAAGAAGAACTGGGTAAATTGATTATTACATTTGGTTAAATTTAACAAACACTTTTTCTTTGTTGCACGTTCTTTAATATTCAGTAGAGCTATTCTTAAGCTTTGAGTAAACTACTGCATGTAGTTGAAATTCTTTCCATGCCATGTTTCCCAAAGGTTTGCAAATCGAGTAACATTGTCAGAACTTCTGACTGTAGAAAAATAAATTACTTCTGAAATTCAATTTCTCAATTGCAACTAATACTGGCTGTGGTATGTCCATACATACAGGTTGATGCATGGTTGGGAATTTAGAAAGCCATGTGTTACGAATGTTTCTTGCACTTTTTCTTTCATAAAGGAAAAGTTGTTTCCTCAACAATGTTTTCGAGGTTTTGAGGGAAAACAAGACTTTCTGATGTTTCCCGTGCGACAATCTTTCCTAGTGATATTATTATTTTAAGAAATTTAACTATAATTTTTAATTAATATTCCAGGCAAGAGTAAGAATGCCGTAGTGGACTTACTGACGACCAGGACAAAGGAACAGAGACAAGAAATTGGTGAAGCTTACAAGAAGAAAGAAAATGAAGTAAGACGCCCTTGTCTGTGTTGTATTATCTGAATAGAAAGTTTGAGCAACACAACGAAGTACGAAGACGAACTTGCGCATACTGAGTTTGGAGTCACTGGGGGTTGCTCAACGTGTCTTCCCGTTATAGATTCATGTCTCACTGTTTATGAATACTGACTCTAATCCTGACCCTGACCCAGAGAAACCAGCGAGACATGAAACTATATCCCGTCTTTGTTCTTCTGCCTTCCTTCAGAACGAAATTCACGACGAATTTTGCCTATATATTTGTTCCAAATTTAATGAAACAATTTCAATCTGTCATCAGTTTCTCTAACTAAACATCTCTCGTTGGCAAAACACATCATACCGAGGCAAGCAGCCTAGCAAATTGCCCGATTTTTTAAAAGTAGAATCTGCCAGCAATGGTCAATTATACGTGGTCGCATTATACGTCCCAAAATACAAGAAACTGTTTCAGTTGATTCTAGTAATTGTCCAATAACATGTTCTATGTAGGAATTACTTGATACGCTTATTCGAGAGTTCGGCGATGAATCCAAAGACATGTTTACCGTTTTAATACAAACTGGCAAATCTGATGCTGAAATGATTCATGAAGCCATGGAGGTAAGATTATTGGTTTGTTGGGAATAATTTATCTACTTATGTTTGCAACCGTTGGTTTATAAATGTGGTATTTATTGCCTAACATTCATCTTGGGTTTCAACAACAATTTTCTTAAAATTACCAGTCTAATGTGCAGTTTGAAAATAGGATTTGTTTATTTTGTTTAGGGTATCGGAACAAGAGAACATATCCTCATAGATATCTTGTGTAGACATAACGTACAGGTGCGTTGTACATTTGTGCACGTTGATAACAAGTTATATTAGAAAGCGACTTCTGATACATTACTGAATCTATGTAGGAATTGGTTTGCAAGGCTGAATCTATGTGTAGGAAGATTTGGTATATTTGTGTTGATAACAAGTTGGAAAACGATCTTTGATAACAAGTTCAAAAACTCAATAATTCATGAGGAAAACACGAAGAAAAATCATAAGCATGTCGTATCTTTATATGTGATAGAGATTTCTTGTGATTTACATAAATTTTAACTTTGATTTTCTCGACTTACACTGACAACGTATTTTTTGAAAATTACTTCGCCAATGAACTTACTAGAACGATCGTTTTTGCCGCAATTTAAAACATTTGCAGTGCGTGTTTTATCAGACCTAAAGATGCTCTTAATATATGATAAAACACTGCTGCTCATGTTTTAAATAGTACTTAAAAACCGACTTCTGGCATATTGTATGATGGTACTTCTCAAAGAAACTCCAGTATTTAAAGGGATTTTCTTTGCCAAAAGTGACGTTTATTACTTGTGGTACTTCTTTGCATTTTCTCGTGGATTATAACAGAAGTCTTTTCCTTTCTAGGAGATTGAGAAGATAAAGACAGAATATAAAAATAGTAAGTGCGTTTATCTTTGCTTAAATTAAGTCTTGTCACATTACGTTCGCAGTTCAATTATCAAGTGTTCTGAGAAATGGGACGGTATTTAGTATTTACTTGGTGTTCATATTGAATCGCTCTTTTAATAACACACAAAAAATCTTTTAAGCTTACAACAAGGAGATGGAAGAAGCAGTTGGGAAGGAAACTAGTGGTGATTTGAATGAATTGTTGCTTCGGTTAATCAAGGTAACTTCAGTATTATTTCTTACCTGGAAAAAATGTTTCATTATACTTCAGTAGTTTCAAATCGGTGTTTGAAAAGAAGGGTAAATAATCCTTTTTGTTTTCTTAGTGTGAAAGAGTGGAATCAGATTCTGTTGACATGAAACAAGTTGAAAACGACGCCAACGAGCTGCACAAGGTATACTACTTTCCTGGTGTGTATACTGAATCTGTTTTTACTCAAAGGTTTCCTTTACTGCAGGGTTTAAAGAAAACTACACACTTTTCAAATGGCCATAAAATTGGACATTCCGCAACATTTGTGGAAATCTAAGGACATTCTGATTTCTTGAACACTAATTTTAAAATATACCTTAAGATTAAACATCCCAGTGCAAGAAAGGGCTGTTTTTTGCCAATCATCACAGGAATGGAAGGTTTAAAACGCAATTTGAAATCACTTGTAGCAAATTTAAAAGGTGCTTTATGCGAGCTATCAAAGAACAAAACAATTTGACGTGTATAAGTATTGTGTCTACCGCCCGAGCGCTAAAACGCAGATTCGAACATAATTTGAAAGGAATTTTATTTATGCTTGCATGAATGCATGCATGCATGAAATGCTATAATGCTCATGTATGAAATCACTCATTCTTGTGTGCAAGCGGTTTTAATGTGGTTGGCAAAAACCGTCTTTTTACACTTGGAAGTTTCATTCTAAGTAAAATTGTAGTGTTGAAAAAATTCAGAAGACCATTAACTGCCCTTATTCACGCAAAATTTTACAACAGTTGTGGAATTTTCAGTTTAGTGTCCATTTGAAAATTGTCTACTGTTTTAATACACCTGTAGTTGACTTGCTTATGTGTACAGTTAACTGTTCTTCTTGACGAGTTTTATTTGAAGCGTCTCTGATGTAGAAAATAGAGTAGAACATTTTCTTTGCGGGCTTTAGACGCAAACAAGCTTTTCTTATTCAAAACTGTGCGTTCAAAAGCCACCATATCTATACCTCTTTTGAAATTTGCTTTATGCTTCTATTTCAAAGGCAGGCGAAGGGAAGGCTGGAACGGATGAGTCTCAGTTTATTGAAATATTTTCCACCAGAAGCTTTGGTCATTTGAAACTGATCTTTGAGCAATATCAAAAGGTAAAGTCGACATTTCTAATTTTCCTCATGCGTGCCTCAAATTTTTATCCAGATATGTAGTGTGCATATTATTAATCGGTCTTTACACTCGCTACCATTTGGTTGCTAGCCTGAATATGTTGTGTTTTTTAAACTAGGTATTTTTTACGTTTATAAATCATATAGATTTCTGGGAAAACTATTGAAGAATCTATACAAAACGAGTTTTCTGGTGATGTTGAAGGAGCGTTTATGGCTTTAGGTAAAAATTAAATTGGAAAATGAAAATTTGTTTTTAAACGCAATTTTAAAAAACAATTTGTTGTATACCTTTACTCAAAATGTCTATATTATTTACACTTTAGTATCTTATTCAAATGATCCTTTGTCTTATCATGTGACAAGACTTGGTGAGACCATCAAGGAAGATCAACCTGTATTCTGTAAAATGGTTGTTGAACGTTCTGAGGTAACTACAGTGTATGTTACTAGTATCTGAGTCAGTCAGGTTATTGTGGCTGGCACTCATATATAAAAGGTATTTTCGCTAAGGCCAAAACGCATCATCTTTGACTATGCGCGTCAGCATGTTTCTTTTATGAAAACCGTTGATCATCGCAAGGAAATTTAGAGGAAATGTTCTTCCTAATTGGTCTAGGAAATCAACTGAAACTTTGACACGAAAGTAGTATGTTACATGTTTATGAATACATATTGGTACTCAAACTTGCTGCATATTTTGGCATGATTTTTGTGAGAGAATAAAGCATATTCTTGTGATATTTCATATTTGATATATTATTTTATACCCTGAAAATTTAATATTATTTTATTATAGTAGTTCTTATTTTATTCGATGTAAACTTGGTCGCATTTTAACATTAAGTTTTAAAATCTATCTATTTACTTATAGAAATTAGAAATGTATTCGCCATTTCTGCAAAAGCGTTCCCTTGAAAAAAAATAAAAAATTGGACAGTTGAACTGACCAGAAACAGAACACTTTTTTTACCTAACCACTGTGTCAAAACCCATAATTCACAATTCTACTTAGACTATGAAACGTGAATATTGTTTTCTAAGTCTGACGATGTATTCTATCTTAAGGTGGATATGGTAGAGATCAAAGAACTGTATCAGAAGACTAACCTGAGATCTCTAGCAGATGATATCCGAGAACAATACACTGATGATGTCAAGAATATTCTTCTGGCACTCATTAAAGGTACAGATTTCTTAATAGTCCTTATAAACCATGAAAAGCTCAAAACTGTCATGGAGCTCAATTGAATACTCAATATTTCAATAAAAGAGTTTTCTTTTTTAAAATTTTCTTCTATTTTGTTTTAGAGTGGACGGCGGAAGAAAGGGTAAACATTTTTCTTTTAGCTTTTTTTTCCTCAATTTTGACATATTTAAAGGCCGTATTGGCCTTTGATTACTTTTATACTTTATTTATATGCTGACATTTTAAATTTGGTATTAATTACTAGTTACCTTTAGTTGCCATAACACCTATTAGAGTGTTTGATTTTGTTCTTCTTTCACTTTTAGGAGGAGGAAAAGACGATTCCATTACCAGCTGCAGTTGTGTATCACCCCACAGTTATAGCAGTGCAAGATTTTGCTGTCGAAAATGATGTGAATGCTATTAAGAATAATTTAGGTAAGAAGGAAACATCGTGATATTTATGCTGTCTAACAAGTCTTGCAAACCGTGTTCCAATTAATAGATTGTGTTATATTTTGCACTGAAGAAAGTCTACGTTCACATCTATGATATCAAAACTTTTCAACACATTTAAGCTAAAAATCTTCATCTTCCAATAATTGTCAAAGCTTAGTTCAAACGTCATGTGCCGCACCTAACATAAATGTCTTGAACATATTCTTTGAGCTCATTTGCATTATGGCCGGCACATGAAAACCATTGCACTAGGCCTTATTTTCTTTGTCTTGTGCGGCTGTTTAATATGGAACTATCTGAAGAATTGTTACTTTGGCGCTGTTGAAATGCTCAGCAACAGGTGCTCAGCATCTTTTTTATGGAAACGTGACAATACTCACCAACGTTTTCTCACGAATGTCCAGTTTCTCCAATGTTAAATATACCATGATTATATGCAGTGATAATTTATTTTATTTTTTGAAGGTACGGACAAAGACGCTATTATTGGGCTTCTAACAACACGAAGTAAAGTCCAACGGCATGGCATTAGTGAAGCATATCAGAAGCAAGAAAGTAAAGTAAGTTTGTTTGCCTGTTTCAGAGGGCTGCTAGTGGGCTATTGCTGGTTTGTGTATGGTGTATTTTTTACTCCAATTTCTCTGAATCAATCTTGCAGGCATTGCAAGAACAGCTTGTGATCGAATTAGGACCAACGTCCCAAAACATTTTGACATTGTTGGTGCAGTCACCAAAGTCTGACGCTGAACGTCTTCATGAAGCTATGGAGGTAAGAGGTTCTCCTTTAAAATATATGTCTTGAGGTTTTATTCTCCTCCATGTTGATTTTTTCAACTTTTATGAAAATGTCATGCCATCGATATGGACCTCGCAGAGAAAAAGAACATTTATAAATGCTAAAGTGTAATCGGGGTTATACCAATCAACACAATTTTAGAAAAAATCACTATTCGATGGATAGCACATTCTGGCCTTCGTACAACTGACTCTAGAAGTTTATATATTCACTATTCAGATTGACAAAACTAAGTCAAAATTTAAACCGTATGAATACACAAAACCGTGGATGGTGATATTCGCTACCCCAAGAAAAACTAAAACACTTGGTAATGGATATTTCGAGCGAAGACCCTTCGTCTTGGGCGTTAGTCGCTATTATTATAAGTGCTATTATTATAATTTCTTGAAGAAAGGCCTTGTAATATTTTTCAGGCAGAGAAGTATCAAGCTTCATGGTTCTATGCGCAATGGCCAATGTACCATGCAGATGTTGCCGGTCATTTTAGATAAAATTTCTCCAATCTTTATTTCAGGGCTTTGGCACGAAAGAAGAAATTCTTATTGACATTCTATGTCGACGAACTAAAGAGGTATGTATAGAGCCTATAGACCATTCCCCTTGAATTTATTAATACTACAAAATTGATATATTTTGTGTAGTGTATTTAAATTTTGTTAGCTAATGAAAAGTAGGACGTTTCAATATAAATGTCATAACATTTTGTTTTTCTTTGTAGGAGGTAGCGATTATCAAGACAAACTATAAAAATGGTAACTATTTCAATCTTTTTTCATTCCTTTTTGCACTCTTATTACATTCCTTTTGAACTTTCATCTATACATTTTTTCATTTCGTTTCAGCCCACGGAAAGGAGTTGCAAGAGATGATAGAGAAAGAGACAGGTGGAGATTTTCAAACGTTGCTGGTTGAGCTTATTAAGGTGAATGGTATATCGATTATAAATGTTGTTGCCAGTTATAATGATATTATATAGAAGTTCTAGCAAACAACTACACAGTGAAGAATCATATATGTGAATTTCATCGCAGGTGTGGACAGTATCAACAAGTACACACTGAAATTGGTATACTTTGTGGTGTAATTTACAATGGTGGTTGTGTATTACATTCCCTCATTCGCGCCTTTTATCATGTGAGCTTGTAGCCATCCTTGCTATATAACAGTTGACTTTATTACAACCTTTCAAATAAATGACTTATTTTTTGTGGTTTTATAGTGTGAGAGGGAGGAAAAGGATGTTATTTATCCAAAAGAAGTACGACAAGACGCTTCGGACTTGCACCAAGTATGTGATATGATTGTATTAACTATAGAGTAATGCAGACCTGATCTAATGTGTCAAATGTGAGAAAGCGTGTTTCATCAGGTTATCCAAACAACTTGCCAACAGTAAGCTGTCACTCAATTTTCAATGTTATAGGAAATGTCTTCAAAACTTCGAGAAAAGTTCTTCCATCTCAGTATCGATAAATGTTTGATATTCTTTTTCATTATTGTTTTGTTTTGTAAAAACATTTTTTCATGTTTGTTTAGGCTGGTGAGAAAACGAGTGGGACAGATGAGTCACAATTCATCAATATCTTTACAAGCAGAGGATTGCCTCATCTGAAGATGATGTTCGAGCATTACAAGACAGTAAGTGTATCAGCTCAGTATATGGATTTTGCATTTTGAATTTTTTCAAAGTGATAAACTGCATGCTAGCAAACATTTGTGGTTAAAGTTGTGGTCAATCTGTCCCTGCAAACAAATGTGCATACGAGCACGACGGACTTTACTGTCTCTATAATGAATAACGAAAGAAGTGTGGTCAATTTGTTAAAGAGTTTAATTAATGTGCATGACCCAGTATTTATCAGACTCTTTCGTATTTTTCGTCCAGATTGCAGGCAAAACTATCGAAGAAAGCATAGAGAAAGAGTTCTCAGGCGAAATCCAGACTGCTTTGTTGACTATGGGTAAGAATTAATAGAATTAGTTAAAACAAATTAGGACCATTTGCATTTCAATTTTAACCTGCATGAGTGCAAATTCATGCAACATTTTCTCTTATTTTTTAGTGTCCTACATCAATGATCCGCTGACAAGTCACGTGACAAAACTGAACAAGACAATCAAAGACGATGTTGATACATTTAGTCGGATTATCATTGATCGCTCAGAGGTACAATGGGCGTTTTACTTGACTCAATTAGTCCATTAGATTGACACCTGGTTCCTGTAGCGCTGAGCTGACCAGAGCTAAAAGCTCTGCTGAATGGAGTACTAATCTACCTCATGGCCCACCCCCAACATAATCTTGTATTCATTTATGAAATAGGCCACAGGAGAGACTTAGGAATAGGCCACAGGAGATGTTTAAGAGGCACCTTCCTTCCTTATATTTTTGCCAACTAACTTTGCTCTCGACTGTGTCTTTAAAATGTTTATTTTTCAGGTGGACATGGTGGAAATCAAGGAACAATATGTACAGGCGCACAAGAAAACATTAGCAGATGATATCAAGGAACACTTCAAGGAAGAAGATGTCAGGAACATTTTGCTTGCTCTTATTAAAGGTATGTCTTTCGTATTCAATAAAGTGTTAACTAAAGTAAGCTTTATTTGAACTGCACAGCTCTATGTGTTGAGAGGTCTAGTGAGGGCCATCTCTTATCGGTCCAGTTTTACTGCACAAGGAAACCGGAGTACTCTGGGAAAACATGTGATATTTGGTGGCACTGGAAGCACTTTTTTCATCCGAGAACTGCACAATGCATGAATCAAACGAGGGTTGCAGAGATGCAGGGCACATAGGAAACATTAAGTACTGTGCTACTACATCCTTGTACGACCAATAAGGCGTGGCCTAGGCTGAATTTATAGGAACATCTATTTGGAGAGTGCTGGATCGAGCTATTGAGTATAAAGAAAGTTAGTTTAGTGTGTATGCACTGCCATTATTTAAATACAAGTACTATATAATAAAAAACAAAAACTCTTTTGTTTGTTCTTAGAATGGGTTCCCGAAAAACAGGTTTGTGAAACATGTTGTATTTTGTAGAACGAAATTATGTTTATTTCTATAATTTTTATTGTTGGCAAAACCTTGTAGAATAATATTACCAAGCCAGCAGGTGGATCACTTTATTACGGAATATAAATTTTTATTTTCCCCAGCCAACGATTCCAGCTGATTCTCCTGTTGTCTATCATGCAACTGTTGTTTCTCCCGACAAGTTTGTTGAAGAAGATGATGTCAACGATTTGAAAAAACATTTGGGTAAGAATTAGCTATTGGTAAATATGGCGATGTAACATGCAAGAAGTTTAGGATGTCTGGATGTCTCTTCAATCTTCTCACGCTGTCATGTCAATATTTGTATAATTACAGGCAGCAGCAAGAACTCCATAATCACTCTACTGACAAGCAGAACCAAAGAACAACGAAAGAAAATCAGCGAAGCTTATCAAAGTAAAGAGAATTCTGTAAGAACAACTTTCTTTTCTGCAATTGTTTTGGTGTACGGGATTGAAAATATCGATGTGGATTAAGCACATGCCTTTTATATCCATATTCCCATACTGATACACGTGGATTGAATTATAACTTTTTACATTCTGCATAGAAACTTGAAGAAAAACTTGACACAGAATTTGACAAAGAAACTGAAGATCTGGTGTCTGTGTTGATGCAACCAAGCCAAACAGATGCTGAAAAACTACATGGTGCTATGGAGGTAATTTTCGGAGCTATAGACAACCCCAAGTTTTTGTTCTTTACACTATGTACACACTCAATCATGTGTAACGTGCTATCTAAATTCTCTTTTCATGATATCCTTCCATCTCATATTCTGTCTCCAAACTCTTTGTCGTCCTTGTATTGGATATTTCAATGCTATAGCACGTGCAAAATTAGGAACTATTATTAATATCTTTTAGGGCTTTGGTACGAAGGAAGATGTGCTTATCAATGTTTTATGTCGCCGCACCCAACAGGTATGTAACATTTTCGGGCCCGCAGTAATTGGCAAACGCTGTTGCGGATTCCCTGCCACTGTAATATGTACAAGGCGAATTAAATAAATAAATAAATAAAATAAGTATGCGTTATCCTCCCTTGCACTCATTGGGTTAGATTAGATAAAGTTGGATTATAAGTTAGCTTGCATTGAATTAGATCAGTTTAAGCTAAGTTGTTGTTAAAACAACATGATAATCATGGCCAAAAAACGATGGATTATTAGTGATTCGAACATTATGATGGATTTGGATTATTTAAATCGATCCCTCAAACATAATAGAGAAGTTCAAATTTTATAATAATATGCAAAATTAATCATTTTTGTGATTGTTTTAAAAATAGGAAATAACAGTTATCAAAGAGCAATATAAAAAACGTAAGTAAATTTTTGTTATTATTTTGTTTCGCGATGGTAGTGTTTGATTTGTTGAAATCGTCCAGTTCACCCATTGGCTGATTTCAGTGCATGACCCAATGCATAGCATATACCAAATCACAACGATATTTCTTTCAGAGTATGAAAAAGATTTAGATACCATGATTGAGAAAGAAACTGGTGGTGATTTAGAAAAATTATTCATTGAAATACTAAAGGTAAATAGTGCTGTGGGTATATGATAGTTTATATTCAAACAAGAATCTTTAAATCTTGTCCTCATGTTTAGTGTGAACGTGACGAAAAAGATGTAACTTATCCAAACCAAGTGGAGCGTGACGCAATTGACTTGTTTGAGGTAAATGGAGGTTTGATACCTTTGTTTTTGTTGTTTCAAGAAACACAACTTTGATTAATAATATTCTACGACTAAGTTATATTCATTCAACTTGCAGGCTGGAGAAAAGAAGTCGGGGACGGATGAATCGAAATTTGTGCATATTTTCAGCAAGAGAAGTTTCCCTCATTTGAAAATGATGTTTGAACAATACAAGAAAGTAGGATTTTGTAAAGTTCTTATTTTTTTTATAATATCCTAACTCCTGAGCACATCTATCTCAAATTCTAACATTTTGTGTTCATGTCTAGACGTCCGGAAAAACGATTGAAGAATCCGTAAAGAGCGAGTTTACTGGCGATACTGAAGCAGCATTCATGACTCTAGGTATAAATAAAAAACATTGGAAAATACTGAAAAATACACAGTGAGATGTTTTCCATATCTTCACTAGTGAAGATATCGATCATATGACTTTTTCCAATTTGCTTTTGAGCGTGAAATTTCACATTTTTTTGCTTGGGACTATATAATAAACAGAACATTACACGGTGCTTGAAGATATGACTTTTACCTTCTCGTGTTAAAAAACAATATTTTACTCACTCGCCGCTCGTTCGTAAAATATTGTTTTCACCACTCGAAGATAAAAGTCATATCTTCGCGCCGCCGTGTAATATCCTCTATATATTCTTTTGGAAGCTAGTCATTGTGAAACTGGGAAAAAGAGTTGAGTATATAATGTTAGCTTCTTTTCAGGCTTACGTATAGTGTAGGTTGTAATTAAAATTTTTTCCATGACAGTATCCTACGTGCAAAATCCGCTGACGTCACATGTAAGCAAACTAAACTCGACCATCAAAGATGACTCGAAGATGTTTTACCAACTTATTGTCGAACGTTCTGAGGTTTGTAATGAAACTATCATAGAGGATAGTAAACTAACCCATTATCTTATTTTTCAACAATATTTTATCCCATTGCAACAAACCTGTTTAGCAAAGTTTATTAGCCAACCGTTGACAAAATTTGTAACAGTTCGTTTAATTAACGATACTATAGTAATTTACGGATGAACAGTCAATTATCAATTTTTGTGATTGAACGAAAATATATAAGTAAACTCACCTCTAAACACAATACGCTGCCGTTTATCTTGCATCGTTAATTATTATGCACCTATTCGCAGTAAAACATATGGAAAACTCAATTCATTGAACATTTGTTCACTATTTTTTTATATTTAGATTGACATGGTCGAAATAAAAAATCTTTACAAAACAACGCACGAAGTGACTTTGGCTGATGACATTCGAAAACATTACACAGGAGATACCAAAAACATTTTGTTGGCTTTGATTAAAGGTAGCATTTTTCGTATGAAATATTGTTTTTACGGCTTAAATTGTAGAGAAAATATCGGGATTGTACCAGGGCACATGGCTGCACGTACACAGTCACATGCATAAACCCGACGTGGACATCGACTGGCGCTTAACAGCGTAGAGTTTTGGCAAACGACCCAACCCGAGCCTGATCGCTGCCCAAAATTGCGACAACCACCTCGTAAATTGTTTCCGTATAACTAATGGGGCCGCTGTAATTGGCAATAGCTGTTGTGGTTTCCCAGCCAATGAATGTATAAGTATGATGGCAAAGTGAATAAATAAATAGATAAATAAATAAATGCATTTGGATCTTCTCGCGAACATTAATAATTTTGGCTTATTCTCTGGAATAAACTGTTGGAGCCAACTTGCATATCGACATGTGCTTCATCACCAGCTTTGGTTGATTTCTTGTTTTTCTTTTTATCATATAGAATGGGATCCAGAGAAAGAGGTAAACGACTCTACAATTTATTTTACCTCGACTCATTAAGATTGTACATAACGATATGCGGTGCAAACTTTATATTATTGTATGTGTATTTTTTACAACCATGCACCTATGTGTATCCGGCTCGTGATACCGTTAATCATGCCTGAAACTTTTACACCAAAATCAAATGCCAGTGTTCTCCTGTTTATTACTGGGAAAAAATGTGAAATCCATACTTTGAAATTTACAATTGCACCACTAAATCCATAGTATATCCATACTATTTCCAGTCTATATCCATAGTATGAAAAATATACAATTATTATGGATAATCAAAATCCATTCTATTTCCAATAAAGGTCCATACAATTTCCATTCTATGACCTTCTATGGATTTTCATTTTTTTTCAGTGTATGTGATGTGATCATAACGATCATGACATATAATTTGTCACTTGTCAAATGTTACAGCCCCGGTTCTTATAGGAACATTAGAGACCTTAAGATTGACGTTTACGGCAAACGTCAAACCGCTAGCGAAGTTTTTGATTTTACAACTCTATTATTATAGCTTTTACACCAGTTTTGAAATATGTTAAACTTATTAAACTTGTGCTTTTTAGCAATGATTTAAGAAAGCAAATTAACCACTAGTCATGCCATTCACCAAAGCAATAAATTAAGATTTGGCGTTTGAAGTTGACGTTTGGCGTATAAATTTCATGCTTTAACGACTACAAACCCTCGTAGCAGTTCCAGCATGAAATTTATACGCCAAAGGTCAACTTCAAACGCCAAATCTTAATTTATTGCTTTGGTGAATGACACGACTAGTGGTTAATTTGCTTTCTTAAATCATTGCTAAAGAGCACAAGTTTAATAAGTTTAACATATTTCAAAACTGGTGTAAAAGCTATAATAATAGAGTTGTAAAATCAAAAACTTCGCTAGCGGTTTGACGTTTGCCGTATACGTCAATCTTAAGGTCTCTAATTAATATCTAATGAGTTGAGACGTCAGGTTCAACGTCAAACAAAGGTCTTCTATTTTGTAACTTTGAAGTTTGCCGGTGTCCCAGGATTTTCGCCCCCCTACATTTTCGCCCCCCGGGGGGGCGAAATTCCTAGGAATATCGCCCCCCAGGGGGGGCGAAAATCTTAGGAATTTCGCCCCCTTTAGGAAATTCGCCCCCCTTTAGAAACTTCACCTTTTCTTTAGGATTTTCGTCCTCCGTTCAAAATTTCGCCCTTCCTAACAGTTGCATGGGATAATTATTACATGGCTTTAATCATTTGAAATCAGTATCAATTCAAAATTGTTAAGACAGAGCTTGAAATAACAACCGATCACCGATCGGCAAGGAATTGCTTATGATCGGCGGAAAAGCAGGGTTTCGGTTTCCAACCTGAAAAAAGCAGGGAAAGTCACGACTGCCGATCACCATGATCGGGAACTTTGGGAACGTTATTTCAAGCCCTGTAAGAATACAAATTTACAATTACATTTATCATTACATTTGTTTTTAGATAAAATATTCAAAATTTATATGGGGGGGCGAAATTCCTAAAGGAGGGCGATATTCCTAGGAGATTCGCCCCCCTGGGGGGGGCGATATTCCTAGGAGATTTGCCCCGGGGGGGGGCGAATATTTTAGGAATATCGCCCCCCCTTTTGAGAGGGGGGGGGGCGAATCTCCAGGGGGGGACACCGGGCTTCCAGATCATTATATCTTCACAGGCTATGGTTTGACTAAGCAGAATAACTCCAAAACTGTTTGACACGAAATTTGTAGAGCTAACGATTGTCCGCTAAGGACAACTCCGTCAAATTTTGATTGAATTTCAATGAAAGTTAGATGAGAAATCTGCAATCTGTTTTTATCTCGCTTTCCGGGCTCAAACCGTATTACAAAAAGTTTGGTGAAAGTCTGAGCATTATTGTCATATTTCTGTGTGATTTTGTCCCCACGAGAACATGACGATATAACCAAAGATTGCGCACCATTCGTGGCTGCTTTATACATCCATGACTCCAAAATTCTCTCACATCTAGATATCAACGAATGTGTCCAGATTCCCAAAGTGTGTCACGCCCATGCAAACTGTAGCAATATTCCTGGATCATTTTCATGTCAGTGTAGCTCTGGATTCGAGGGAGATGGAATACAGGACTGTACAGGTCAGAATATCTTGAAGGAAAGGGAAACGTTTTTGCTTCTTGAGAAGCACAGTCTTCCTTAGCAATGACCAAAGTTAGCCATATAACCAAAGTCTGCGCAAGATTCGTTCCAGTGCTCGCTTTATACATCCATGACTCCAAAATTCTCTCACATCTAGATATCAATGAATGTGTCCAGACGTCCAAAGTGTGCCACGCCCAAGCAAACTGTAGCAATATTCCTGGATCATTTTCATGTCAGTGTAGCTCTGGATTCGAGGGAGATGGAATACAGGACTGTACAGGTCAGAATATCTTGAAGGAAAGGGAAACGTTTTTGTTTCTTGAGAAGCACAGTCTTCCTTAGCAATGACCAAAGTTAGCCATATAACCAAAGTCTGCGCAAGATTCGTTCCAGTGCTCGCTTTATACATCCATGACTCCAAAATTCTCTCGCATCTAGATATCAATGAATGTGTCCAGACGTCCAAAGTGTGCCACGCCCAAGCAAACTGTAGCAATATTCCTGGATCATTTTCATGTCAGTGTAGCTCTGGATTCGAGGGAGATGGAATACTGAACTGTACAGGTCAGAAATATCTTGGAAGGAAAATGTGTTTCTAAATTTGCTGGGAACGTTTTTGCTTCTTGAGAAGCAAAGTACTCCCCTTCCCTTTTACGCGCAAAATCTGGACAAGGAATCTCGACACAAAATCTCGCTGATAGTTCTCATGTCAGGATTTCTGACATTGTGACGTCAAAAAGTTCTCAGAATCTCTGAGAGCAGACCTGCACATCGAACCAACAAACCGTCCTTTTAAAAAACATGCTCAATTTGGCCAAGGTTTTTGAGAAGAACGTTTGAGAGCAATATCTGAATAAAGAAAATATGATCTTAGAATGTCCAAGACCATATTTATCGTAGTAAACATGGGGGTGGGGAGACAGCAATGGATAAATCATACAGTTTCTCAAATGTATTCAAATCTGTGTATAACAGTTCTAACGTCATATTTCTGTTAGTTTTCTTTTCCGTATAAAACAGATTGCGTATAAGCAGAGAAAGTCTGAAGGTCAAAGTTGATTGACGTGCGTCTGAAAATGGGTCTGAACTCTAATTGGTCATGGCTCTCGATCAACAAAATCGCTTGAAATCTATAGGTTATTATACAAGTTCAATAGAAAAAACTAAATTACTAGTAATTTTCATTTGTATATGTCAAATGTTGGAAGCCTTTTCATCCTTAAACTTCTTTAAAATTAGTGCTTCTTCTTCGATTTTTCAGAGTTGGCTTGCAAGAATCACGGAAGCGAACAACATATATGAAAACCAATTTACGAAAGAATGTAGAACCTTAAAGTTTATGAATGGTTGAACTAACCTAACTTTCTTTATAAGTTTGGACATATGCCACGATGTAAATGAGTTAATATAAAATTTCTTGTCTTTTACAGTGCCATAACTTTGTTCATCTCTTGATTCAGTAATATCACAGAGTAAAGCAAACGTATAACCTCTAGGAAACTCCATTCTTTCATTTTATAATGCCTTTCTGGGATTCACTGTTCTTCTACAATTTAGGTCAAAACAGTCTGGCAAAGCTCATATAAGCAGCCACGTCATTAGCTTCAATTCAGTACAGCCAGCGGATGCAGCCAGTTTCAATCGGCCATTTGCGAAACGCATGTCTACGTCGCCACGCTGTGAAGATCCATCACTTGGTTATTCTTCTTTGGAGGACGAGTCGTGCCATTGGCATTGCTGCTTGAAGGAACAATTTCACGATTGTAAAAATTCGTACATAATATAATAATATTAATATTTTTCTTTTTTATGCAAATTGCACACACGACAATGGCTGTCAGTGCTAAGAGTGAGACCAGACACATGACCACGATAAAAACGGACTTGTGAAGTCCAAAATATGAATTGTCGTCCTTGCCGTCGGAATCTGATGTTTCTAACAAAAAGAAAATGAAACATTCTGAGATAAACATTTCTAAAAATGGCAGAGCGTCTATGCATTTCGCCTCTGGCTCTGAGACAGCGGGCAAAGCCCTCCAGAAGGGAGTTTGATATTCTAGTAACTTCAAATGATTCAATATCTTTTTAAAAATGTTAAACATTGTGACATTGTGTTGTAAATACCTTAGATTTTAAAAATTTCCAAGTGAACAGGGTCTGGGATATGCTATCCACTGCAGGAACATTTTTAAAATCTAAGGTATTTACAACCCAATGTTTAGCATTTTTAAAAAGACATAATACATAATAAAATACATGACATAAGATTCACGAAGCAGGGTTCAGTTACCAGAACGTCAAACCTCCCTTCTAAATTACATTTTTCGTCCAATGTTTTGCTTATATGATTTTTTTCTGTGTTGGAGTAGTGTACTCAGGTGAATATATGATGTTTGTGATGTTACTCTGAGTGCATATCCACACCGGGCGAGCTTGAAAAATATGCCCGGCCACGGTGGGGATCGAACCTACGACCTTTGGAATACTAGCCCAATGCTCTGGCAACTGAACGACGCGGTCAGGTCGGTTCGAGTAAGTGATATTTCGGAACAGAATCTAGTTCCTTCGATACCAATGTAATCTAGTGATATGATTTTTTTCTGTGTTGGTGTTGTGTACTCAGGTGAATATAATGTTTGTGATGTTACTCTGAGTGTATATCCACATCGGGCGAGCTTGAAAAATATACCCGGCCACGGTGGGAATCAAACCTACGACCTTTGGAATACTAGCCCAATATAGTTTCTCTTATATTTTAGAGAAAACGAATTTTGACTGGGGGGGGGGCTTTGCCCCTCCCAGTTGTATAGTCAAAAAAGGCCATGCAACAGTTACGCCCATATTCTAAAAGCTCACTCACACTCAATGGGTGGAGGTTCCACCTGAGCTTTTCTTGAGTGTCAATTAATGTTGTTTTTTGAATAGCTGGGGGGTTAGTGTCGTACCTTACTATGTGACTACTCCCCCTCCAGCTATTTAAAAACAGCATTGACACTGAAGAAAAGTTCAGATTGAACCTCCACTCATTGAGTGTGAGTGTGAGCGAGCTTTTAGAATTCAGGCGTTAGTGTCCAAGTGTCGATTTACTTGGTTATTTGCAGAACATTTTCAATGTTTTCTTGCAGTCCCTGAGAAGGTAAAATATCTTTTCCTATGCCAGCTGCCTTTAGGGAGAATGATTCAAACAGAACTCGAAGTTTGCTAACATTCGGTTTCTCCCTGTAGTACCAATGAACCATGAGCTGTCCAGTATAAAACGATGAGCTGTCCAGTATAAATCCATTCATTACTGTCGTTCCAATTGAAGTGTTCCTCAAATATTGATTCAATACATTACCTCAGGTTGACCAATTCATTTCATCAAGTTCCTCGAGATATTCATACACTTCCTGTGAAAGAGCCAATTCCAAGTATTTGATCATTTCTGGTCACTTCCTTTCTAAACAAAGGTGATTGGTGCATTCAAACTATTCAACAGGAAGTTTACAATTATACTAGGAAGTGTATGAATATCTCGAGGAACTTGATCAAATGAATTGGTCAGCGCGAGGTAATGTATTGAATCAATATTTGAGCAACACTTCAATTGGAACGACAGTAAAAATAAATAATGAAGATTTACTAACTTTTTTCTTTTACGCTGTGAGGATACACTTTAAAACTTCCCAAGCTCCCATTGTTTCCTGCCAAATGCGTTTTCAATAGCTTCAGAGGATAATTTAATTTCTTTTTAAAAACAATTTTAAAGTCTACGACCACACTTCCTTTGGCTTTGCTGAAATTATTTCTATATAAAGTATTAATTTTAATTAACGTGCAGTTCTTCACAAAATGTGCAGTTCTAAACCCATTGTGTACAGTTTTCTCATTTGCTTGTTTTCCTTGTGGATGCTCCAGTAAATGCCAGAAATGCTGTCATTGAGCATCAAAAATATAGAAGTTTTCTGGACGAGGTCCCCCAGGGAAAGAAAGTAAAATTGGGGCGAGCGAAGCTCCCCAAAAGAAATGGACCTATTACCTAATGAACAAAATTTTGATCTAGACAAACATTTTATCACAGCTTGAAAGAGCATCACAAAATTAGTAGTATTCCGAAGTTTCGTTGCGAAATGTTGTAAAATGCGGATAATATAGCCCTGCGAAGTTTGCCATTTTTCAGTCATTTTGTATTACGCACGGGAAATTGATACCTTTTTTCAGAAAGCGGTGGCTCGATAAAGTTTTTTAAGAATGGAAAATTCACGATTTAGATCCGTATTTTTGGAGAATTATTACTTGTTGAAAAACAAAAAGTATCTTACTGATGTAAAGCAACGTTTAGGTGTTGTTTTACATCAATAAGATACTTTTTGAATTTTGTTTTTCAATGACAATAAGTACAGTAATAATTCTGGGTTTTTTAAAACTGTATCGCGCCGCGTTAAGAGGGGTGTCCATTAATAGGTGTGCGACTAATCGACTGTAATTATTTTACAAATATATTTAGTTCAAAGAGGCCTACCTGTAACCAGTAATAACAACGTGCACAAATTCCTTTGTATCTCTATAGATTTCCATTATCTAAAGATGAACGGCATTCGGTTTGTCTTGCTAGTCAAAATTGAACGGAGCAATATAAATTACGACGAAATACCTTAGTTACAATTTGAGCCGTTTCCTGTTTGTAAAAAAGGGAAGTTGTGTTCGAAAGATTAGCTTGCCATATCAATCCAGAAACGATAGTAAACTCTCCCTTGACTATCACTGTGTCTGAAAAATATAGTTAAAAATATCAAGGTTGGCTTCTGTGAGAGCATGCACATTCTACCAACATGAGTTTCCAAGTACACACGTAAAAGTTTCACAACTTGTCAACAAGATGTGTTCGCAACAGGCTTGTAGCAAGCTTGTCAACAAGTTGTAACAATGCTGTTATTTTATCAAGTCGCTACAAGGTTGTCACTCGCAACTTGTTGGCAAATTGTTGAATCGCAGGACGATATATAACAAGTTGTTGGAATAACTTGTAACAAATCTGTTGAGCACAACAACCTTGTAGCAAGTTGTCATCAAGCCGTTGACAACTTTGTTAACAGTTTGGAATAGGCTTGATGGCATTATCAGACTTGTTACAAGGTTGTTCTAACGAGTCTTATACAGTCATGATATAACAAGAATGTTACAAGGTTGACGACACAAGGTTGTAACAATATTGTTATATCATGACTGTATCGGACTTGTTGGAGCAATCTTGCAACAAGTCTGATAATATCAAGGTCGTTACAAAATGTTAACAACTTGTTTCAAACTTTTGACAACTTGGGACAAGCAGTGCGAACACAACTTGTTGACGGCTTGTTGGCAGACTTGCTACAAGATGTGAGATCTTGCGTGTGTCATTTACCCAACAGAAGTAAATTCTCTATCCTGGACCGAGCGGGAAGGGGTAGCGCGTTGTGAAACTGGCGTTACGAAACTGGCCCTTGTGCTTCCCATATAAACTGGCATAAAGATAAAACTGTGTCCATTTTTCATTTGCATTTATCATATCTTCTGTGATACCTTACCTTCGCTAGTGAGAATCTTGCATTTCTTTCCATCTCCTTCAAACCTCGACGGACAATTCTCGCAATTGTACTCATCATCAGCTGTGACCATACATTTCACACCGGGAAAACATGGGAAGTTATGACATGGACTTTTTTTACAAAACCGCCCTGTGTAGGGTTTAATACAGCTGCATGAGTAGTTTGAGAGGTCGTCGCGTTTCGTTGATACAGTTATGTTGGTTTTCTGCGTACCTTAATGAAAGACAATATTGGATACATCAGATGTCTTAATTCTGATCTTTCTGAGCTATGCCTATGGTGGAATAGTTTGATTTTGACACGTCATTGAAGAGAATACTTGGAAAAGGCTTCAATAACCAGATAAAGACATATTATTGTTATACCTTGACTGCCCGTTCTGTTTCTTCCTTCGCTGAGGGGTGATATACATTGGCCTTGGAAGTAAAAACAATTTAGACTAAGTTCACAGTACACGCGTAAAAAGTGTCACAACTTGTCAACAAGCTGTGTCTGCAACAGGCTTGTAGCAAGCTTGCCGACAAGTTGTAACAATTTTATCAAGTTGCTACAAGGTTGTCACTCACAACTTGTTGACAAACTGTTGAATTGCAGGACGATAACAAGTTGTTGGAACAACTTGTAACAAGTCTGTTAGCTCAACAACCTTGTAGCGAGTTGTCAACAAGCCGTTGACAGTTTGACAACAAGCTGGGAACAAGCAATGCGAGCACATCTTGTCAGTAACAAGTTGTTGGAACAGCATTGCTACAAGTCCACTGCAGGTTTGTTACAATTTGTCGGTTTTTACGTGTGTACCCAAACACAACTCAACTTGTCAGAATGCGTTACCAATCAAGTAACAATACCCTAGCCTCAAACGTCGATAGGAAAGCTTAACTCAAGGGAATGGTACTGTGATTTTTATAAGCTTGTGGCACTAATAATTACCTCCATTTTGACAAGAACAAGGAACAGCAACAATTTCTATTATATGGGTACTCGTGATTGTTTTATCTGCCCCATCTTTTACTCTTAAGACAATCATACCAGACTTCGTTCGAGAAATTATTATATTATGTGTTCCATCATTTCCCTCACTGATTGAAACATTGTTGATGGTTGTGTTTGGGTGATAACCATACTCCAACGGATATCCTTCAGGATCTGTCGCATTAAAGACCCACTTAAATTCACCATTTTCGAATGCATAGAGTCGCTTCGGCATCGTGATGTATGGAGGGCGATTTTCTAAAGAAGAAAAAACAAAAATATACAGGGCTTGAAATTTGCAGTATCCTGATACCCAAGGGATACCAGATTTTAAGTTTGGGTAGTGGACATCACAAGCTCAGTACAAAATCACTAAACAAGTTTCTGTCCTCCACAATTATAGTGTATTTTTCTGTTGTACAGTATACGAAACATTTATGACAGTATAGCCTATCCATAGCCTATCGAAGAGAAGATGGCTGTGAAACTCATTAGAATAACAATATAACTCATTTATCTATGTTGGTCAACGTTTATTCATAAATGTGGTTCTTTCACCGTCACGTGTGTATTGTATTTTTTCCCAACTAACCAATAGGAATGTTTCAGGAAAGTCACCTATCCGTGACTCGAACAATACGGAAGCTGGAAATTGCTATTGGTGGATTTGGTAAAAATACAATACACAAATACACACGTGACGGTGAAAGAACCACATTTATGAATAAACGGCTATGGCCTGTCGAAGGGAAGATGGCTGTGAAACTCATTAGAATAACAATATAACTCATTATTTACAGTACAGTGTGTCTAAAAAAAAAGTGAACCCTTTCAAATTCAAATTACCTATAACGTGTTGTAGTAATTTGACAGCTCTAATTGCTTTGAACAATGATTGGGTAAGAACACAAGGAATACTGAATTTCTTTTAAATTTTCTAATTTTCATTTCTTTGAGTTTTGTCCCATGAGTACAAGACCTTGTGTTCTTACCCAACCATTAATTTAAAGCAATTAGAGCTGTCAAATTACTACAGTACGTTATAGCTAATTCGAATTTGAAAGGGTTCACTTTTTTTTAGACACACTGTATGTTGGTCAACGTTTGTTCATAAATCTGGTCCTTCACCATCACGTGTGTATTGTATTTTTGCCCAACTAACCAATAGCAATGTTTTAGGAAAGTTACCTATCCATGACTAGAACAATAGGGTAAATTGAAACTGGTGGATTTGGCAAAAATACAATACACATGTGACGGTGAAGGACCAGATTTATGAATAAACGTGGACTAACATAGTGCTGAAGATTTCAAATTTCAATCCCTGAATATATTGTCTACATTGTCCCTTACACCTCATCACAAATCTGGATTGGATATTCCAGTTGAGTGCATCACAGGGTGTCCCGCAAGAAATGCAATAGCTACTATAATGATTATTGGTTATTGATAATATAGCTAACCCACCAAGGCAGTAGTCTTCTGGATGAGCATTGGTACAGTTTGGTAGTTTTGAACCTGAAAACAAAAGTAAACTTCTATACCAGTCATGCATGAAAAAAGTAATTTAATTTCTTCACAGAGAAGCATCGCATAGGGACGGCAAAACGGGGGGGGGGGGGATAGGGGGTGAAGGTAATGGCATTTTCAAGCCTCAATTATTCCAGGGGAGCAGCAATTTCCCCCCAGACCCCATTAGGTTTCAGCCCTCCCAATTTTAAATATCTTTCTATGCTACCGCTGTCACAGTTTGTTCATGTTTTTCCTGTCGTCAGCCCCCAACTTAGCTGAAAATTAGCCCCCCCCCCCCCAAAAAAAAAACACCCAAAAAACCTGTTCCTAATCTCATTTAGTATGGGTTCTACTCAAAATGTATATACCACCAATCACAATATTTCTCGTGTTGAACATGATATCTCACTCGTTCGCTGCTCTAAAATAGATATCATGTTCAACACCACTCGAAATAATTCTGGTATTTCCGCGCACCATGTATTATTCTCTATATAGGCGCATGCGCTCAAATGCGGGGATAGGGTAAATACTATAGCTGAGGCGATATTAATATGAATGCCCCTCACAAAAACAGAAACGTACCCGCGCAATACACAGAACGGCAATCCTTAGGCTCTTTTAGCTGATAAATATAAAAACCACTGCAATTTCGGACTTTTATGGCATACGAATATTTGGAAAGGCAATTGTCATATCCTACATTAGTACAAGCAGTCCGATTCACAACCCCTTCTTCAACCGAGGGATGAGGGCCTCGCAACCAAATAGGACTAGCAGTCCCACATCTGTCCGTATTTGGCGTTGTCGTCGGCATTTCTCCACCAGCCTCGCTGGAAAACCGATACCACACATTATCACGTATTAAGCCTATATCACAAAGATTCGTGGTTTTAGTGTAAGCTGTACTGCGTCTGGGATCATCGATCGTTGTGTATTTCACGTCCTTACAGGCGCTGGCTTGTAAACCACTGTGTACACACGATAAAAATACAATAAAAGCGGACAAAAGCAATGTATTATGCATGTTTAATGCTCAATTTTCTGCGTGAGCCCCAGCATATAAAAAAGTTTATTATATCCGTGCACAGCTGCGCGTCGTGACGTATTCTGTGGTATTGTTTTTCGTTCACTAAGCGAATTGGTATCCGACCTCTCACTGCGAGCGAAAAGCTCAACTTATAAAACCGCAATAAGAATTGAGTGTATATATATATATATATATATCAAGGTTGACATGCATTAATAAACTCAAATAAACTAAGTCGCGAGAATATTTTAGTATATTAACAAGAGAATATTTTAGTATAACAAGAGAATATTTTAGTATTGTAACACTGCAATGTCAAATTAAAATCTAAAGTTAAACAATAAACACTTCTGAAAAAGCAGGAGACAATCTTAAACAATAAATCATTAATACCCTCTAAAAGCCGATTTACCCCATACAACTTGTGCGTAAAACTGTCATGCAACCTAGCGGCATGCAACTTGAGTTGTATCGTGTAAATCGAGCACATAAATCGCCCACGTTGTCGTAGGGGAGTTGTGTGCCTGATTTACCCAGTACAACTCGAGTTATATAATCGGTTTCCATGCAACAGCTTTAGGCAAAAGTTGTGCAGTGTAAAATGTCGGTAAATACATCTCCAAGAAGTGGAAGTAAGTGCGGCTTAGTCGATTTTCACCGTTAATCCCTGAAATCCCATAAATTGACGCTGGGAATTGCTGGGAACAATGTTGACGTCGGTCAAGTTTGTCAAGGGGCGGTCCTGTTTCTTGTATATTTGAAAATTTCTGTCGGTATTACATGAAAAGGATTTCGACAAAATAAGGGCCAGTTTGAACGCGGTAGGTATTTTTCGAGTTAAGACGTGGACTTTTCATGCGCCGAATATGTAAATGAGGGGAAACTGTATGAATTACGTCATTCATGTTTGGCACGAGATAAAAGTGACGTCTGGACAAAGCCGACGTTCCGTGTAAAGCCATGGGGCTTTCGCTCGCAATACCAAATCTGAGAAATATGCCGAAAACAAGCACGTCCATCAACACCTATGATGGAATGTCTGCCTCTTGGACAACAAAACAGAGACGTGTAGAGTATCAAAGTGACACCGAAATTCCTTGTTGTTACATACATTATACATTGGTATTGTGTACTGATATAAATAGAAATAAAATCAACAGACAATTGATTTTATTTTGGTGGCAAATTCCCGGAAAGAGCATACTAAAATGAGTAGAATCGCAAAGTTTGGTTGCGAACTGTTGTAAAATGCGGAAAATATAGCCTTGCAAATGTATTTGTATTGCGTGCGGAAATTTGACATTGGGGCCAAAAATGGTACAAAATTTGCGAATTTGCAAGGCTTTCCGCATTTTACAACATTTCGCAACCAAACTTTGCCGTTTTACTAATTTTAGTATGCTCTAGCTAGCTGTGGTGATTTATTTGCATCTCCTTGCCAGCTTGCCTAGTTTTAAAATTAGCTGTCTATAAATCTATAATGAGAATTGTCTATTCATTCATATTTGTGATTACGTACAGAGCTGAACGCTTTTTCAAAACAAAAGGGGATAAAGTTGTAAAAAGTTATAAAGTGCATTACAAAATCTTGAATTTTTAGACTATAGAGTTTTGAGTACAGTATATTATATCTTTTACAGGTCCTCCAACAAACTACGGCGGCCCAAGATCTCGTCACGCGTGGTAACCTGATAACCTCAAGTTAATTCATGATGTTGAAACCACAAGCCGCATTACTAGGCAACAAAAATACAACAAACATCTCATTCAAATTTCGTATATATATTCATTCATAGGAAACAATACAAATAAATACGTTAGATACAGCAAAGCTCACGTCGAATATAACAACTTGTGGACAATTGATATATAGTCTTCGAGAAATGCTAGTGCCTTACTCGAAAGAAGACGTCTCTCTCATTTAAAGCCGGTTGTTCAGATTCCTAGTAGGGCCTTTATAGTATTATAAATTCCAAACTGTATATCTCAAGTTATTAGGAGTGAAGTTAGTGAACTAGAACTCATTTGATCATGGGATGCGGTAGCTCACGAGCAGTGATAGTTCCAAGTGATTGTAATATAAAGAACAACTCTAAAAGCAGTCTCGATGAGAAGAAGAGAAACTCGGCCAAAAACTCGGACGTGTCGCTCAGAAATAACAATGTGAGCGGCCAGGGCGGGAGTGCAACAGACTTAGAGGAACGTTTAATAGAGAAACGAAGAGAGATTTCGGCGTCCTCTACAAGAACAGCAGACAGTGGAATCAGCGAGTTACCCGATGAAAATATCATCACGGAAAACACGAATCCAAATAAATTACTAGAACACGGAATCTCGCAGCGGCCAGAAACGCCAGGTAGGGATTTTGATTTCTAGACATAGATATGATTAGGTATACAGTTATGCTTAGTAAAAAAATTTTATTCTGATATGAAACATCTCATAGTTATATTCTAGTACTGTACTGCCCGTAAATCGTAATATATCCACTTCAGAATGATATACTATTTTGAATCATTCTGTCAAAAATGAGGGATCTATGTTACTTCACTCGACTTAGTCTTAGATTAGGCCGAAGTCGACAGTGCAGTGCTACAGTATAGCCAAGGGCAATGACCACTCCATGCAGAAAAAAAATCCTACCCATTCCAATATTCTAATACTGGCTTTAAACTCTAAAGCCGAACCAGGAGAATATTCACATTTATTTGCTATGTCTATAGTCACTGTCTATAGTCGTTAAGCTGGTCTAATATTTGTATTTTGTAATGCTAAATAATAATGCAACACGTATAAAAAGATGGTCAAATTTGAAAACATGAATTGCCCTTTGCTTTCGAGAGTATGTGTTATAATTATATCACACGTATAGCCTACGATTTATGTGAAAGTTATGTACTCCAAAAGAGGCAAGACGGGCCTCGAATTTGATTGCAATAACGCTCAGTAAAACGTATAGGCTAGTATACGATTTATATCTATGGTTCATTATTATTTTTTCATGGCTGATAAAAAGTAACGAATTATTTTGGAAATATGAGAATATCCAATCTCGTGACCTCTCTCGACACGAAAATTGCAACATTTTCAACAACAAAATTGAAATTTTTCATTTATTTTTGCCTAATGCAAGCTCGCATTAAGATACAAAATATACATTTTAATTCGGCGATAAAAGAGAATATATCATGTTTAGTAAATAGCAAATATATATAATAGGACGGAAATTCGAACGCAAAGCTAGCTATAAAATAGTTCTGGTATTCACTATTCCGTTGGAATTTGGAAAATGAACTAAAAATGAAACCTTAATTGAATTTCATGCTGTGCACAGATCGAGTTGCCTTTCAGTTGTAACGTAGCTATTTTTGTTTTCTTTTGTCCATATGCTTTGACAGTCTGTTTCTAAAAATCAATATTTATTCTAGAAAACAGCTGTATTGTCTGCCGTTTTCTCATAGGATTAGCAAATAAATCGGTTTTTTATACTTATTCGACAAATTAAAGACTACAAAGTAATTTCTTTCGGTTATTTTGTTTGATTTGGTTTTTAAGTAAGACATATTCTAATCCTTGAAAGAGAATTTGAATGACTGTTTCCTTAGTAACCAGCAAGATGACGCCATTGCTTAGCAACGAGTAGCTGATAATGACGTTTTGTGTGGGTGTATTGTGTATTGTTAAGCAACTAAAGTAAGCGCTCTAATTGTCAGGCTGTATACATTTCAAATCATTCATTGTTATACCTTTGAAATTAATAGCGTTTGCTTGCTAATGAACGTTTTAAAAGCTGTTAACTAGAGCTGTATGTTTGAACTTTAAAATTTCAGTAATTCCCGGTTCCTTCACCTTCTGGAAACATGGCTAAGAAATTCGCCCGCTTTTCGAGAAACATGGCTAGGAAACAATGTTTTTTTGTCCGCCTTTGGGAAACATGGCTGGGAAACAATGTTTCCTGTTTGGGAAACATGGCTAGGGAAACAATGTTTCCTGGTTTGTCCACCTTCAGGAAACATGGCTAGGAAACAATGCTTCCTGGTTTGTCCACCTTCAGGAAACATGGCTAGGAAACAATGTTTCCTGGTTTGTCCACCGTGGTCAGAGCGCTGCAACGTATTTTTTCCTGCCAAACAAGACTAAGGTCTTACTGGCTCTGGGGACATGCACAACCTACTTTATTCTACAAGTGGTCTATTTTAAACAAATATTTTTAATTTTAGATTTAGTTCTAGAGGGTGTTGGATGTCCTCGTAAACAAAGTGGAAAAGAGAGACGTCTAGAATTACAAAAGAAAAACTCCGAATCATCTGTACCGAAACTGCCTCCATTAACGAACAACAGTTTGCTAGAAAGGCCGAAGACGAGAGGAGGCGTCGCCTTTGATATCACGTTCTGTCCCGAGACTGGCAACATGAAGAAAGCGCAGTTACCCAAACTTGAACGACGAAAGAAAAAGAAAAAATTAACGAAAGAAGAATTAGAGGAAAAAATGAGAAAAGCAACGGAACGAAGACAGGTTAGAGGATTTGGAAATCTGAAACTCTGAAATCTTTCTTGTTACCTTAAGGGATCTAGCCTCCTGCGCAGACGTTGTTAGTGGCAACATCTGCGCAGGAGGCTATAAGGGATCAGGACTTCTTGTGTTTCGTCTTCGTGTAACTTGATCTCTTCCTAATCCTCTGTAAACTCTTCTTAATCTGCTTGTGTGATGTTACTCTGAGTGTATATCCACACCGGGCAGGCTTGAAAAATATGCCTGGCCACGGTGGGAATCGAACCTACGACCTTTGGAATACTAGCCCAACTGAGCTACGCGGTCAGGTCGGTTCGAGTATGCGATATTTCGGAACTGAGTCTAGTTCCTTCCGAAATATCACATACTCGAACCGACCTGACCGCGTAGCTCAGTTGGCAGAGCATTGGGCTAGTATTCCAAAGGTCGTAGGTTCGATTCCCACCGTGGCCAGGCACATTTTTCAAGCCTGCCCGGTGTGGATATACACTCAGAGTAACATCACACAAACATCTTATTCACCTGAGTACATTACACCAACACAGCAAATATCTTCTTAATCTCTTTCATAATCTTCCTAATTCAATCACTCCATCATCCGTTGCCTTCCTCTCAATCATCTGTCTGTTTATTAAGGGATCAAGCCTTCTTGTGTATCTTCACCGTGCAACTCAGTCTCTTAAATAATCTTATGTAAATCAAGTCTGTTCCATAATCTTCCTAATTCCATCACTCCGTTCATCTTCGTCTGCATCTTTTTCCTACTACAAGTTCCTTCCTTGCTTTCTTAACAAATTTTCTCTCATCAAAATCCCACACCATCTCATTCTTGCTTCTTCTTTCCTGACTTTGCTAACAACTCAGAGACAAAGTTTGAATACCGTGTCATGGATATAATCAAAGAACTTCAGAAATGTCGCACACATTAAAATGCATGCAACTTTATCATCACGAGCTCTTCATTTAATTCCATCATTCCCCTCTTGACGACTAAAATCGTCTGTCGTTAAACAGAGTAAAATAACAAATAGGGCGCATTGGGATGCAATATCATTTACGGAACAGCGGTCATATATTTTAACGTGCGACATATGGTTTCCTCCAGTTTAGGTTTCCTCCTGTAGTAACACTGGATCAATAAGAGATGATCCTTACTGCATCTCTGGGGAGAACAGTTTAGAACTGATAGAGCTATCCAGTATAAATAAAGTTAGTCTAGTTTAGGTTTCCTCCTGTAGTAACACTGGATCAATAAGAGATTATCCTTACTGGATCTCTGGGGAGAACAGTTTAGAACTGATAGAGCTATCCAGTATAAATAAAGTTAGTTTAGCTTTCCTCCTGTAGTAACACTGGATAAACAGGAGATGACAATTACTGGACCTATAGAGAGGATGGTTTAATTAAAACTAATAGAGTTTTCCAGTTAACTTAGTTCAGATTTTAACGGTTTATTTATCATTTTCCCTCCAGCAACACAATAAGAAAATCCAGGCGAAATCACACGCCTTCGTTGAACAATACGAGAATGTCGTACAGAGGCGTAACAACGCGATGGAAAGCAATAATGGAAACGCAGGGAACTCCGGTAATACAAGAGACGATGTTACTGAAATAATGGATATATCTGGAAATCAAGAAACGGACATGACAAGCCAATGAAAAACAAATGAAAAATTATCTATACGGGAAGGCATCAAACCGTACGAATTTCTGAGGCAATTTCTCAAGCATCACTGCAGACCAAATTTCCATCGTGAACCTATACTCAGCATGTTTATGCCTGTTGACATCGAATTCATGACTCGCATCGATTGAATTGATAACTCGCATACCTAGTTACCACTGTTCTGATAATGCAAGCATAGAATGGAACGGAGGTAACCAAGCATTTAAATTATATATGCGAGTGAATTGATAACTCACATGCCTAGTTACCACTGTTCTGACAATGCAAGCATAGAATGGAACAAAGGTAACCAAGCATTTAAATTATATATGTCAGTGAATTACGTGGCAATGGACATAAACACATCAGCAGAATGGGTCTATTTATCCTAGTTTCTGAGAAACTTGTTAAGACCTAATCAAATTGATTGATGACAATAACAAGAACATCTATATTTATGGTAGTGATAAATAGCTATTTTTGTAAATATAATGTACGTGTGTGAAAATACAACAAAACTATAGTTGACATGTGCAACAGTTTGTTTCTGTTTAATTGGCAGTCGCATCGTATAACAAAGCACAGAAAACACAAATTATATTTCCACTTTAGTACCATTCTAAAGGGAGAGATATGATTGGCTTCTCAGAGAACTGCTATTTCGCAGAAGTTGAGCAATTTTCGCTAGAAACATTTTTCTATCAAAATATGAAATCCATATACTGTATGGACCCAGAAAATGGAAATTAGATTTCCAGATTATTTCCAACTAGAATCCATACTTTTCCCATAGCATGATTTCCAAAAAAATCGCACTGGAAAAGAAAGTTTGATTATAAATACAAAATGACCAATATATAATTAAAAACTCAACATCAAAATTTCAATCGGATTCATCATATCTGTATTCTGTAATACAATACTGTGTGCATTTACAACAAGAGACAACAAGGACCTGCGAATATGAGTGCGGAACTCCCGAGCAAAGCTCGTATTATATATGTTCCCTCCTAGTAAGGGCTATGAAAAGTTGACAAAAAATTAAAATAACTGTTTGTTACTCGTCCTCCTCCGCAGGCAACTCAGCAGCAAAAAATGCATAATTACGCAATAAGAAAGCTTCTGATTCATAGGGATACAACTACATGAAAAATACAAGAACTTCGACGTTTCGAGCCTTTGTTGGTCCCATTCTCCCGAAAATGTAAAGGGTCCATTTCCACTTGGGAAAATTTTCCGCAGAAAGAAAATTTTGTATAATATGGGATTGGCCGACACAAATTTTCCGTCGGATAGTTGGAAATTTTAACAATGATATTTTCGGAAAATTTTCTGTGCGTGGAAATGGGCCTTTTTCCCGCATGCATCATAATTTGCGGGTATATAGCCCGCGTGTTTAATTATATACAGCCAGCCTTCGTGTTTAACCATTAGGGAGTTTAAGATCTTGACGACGAACTGCCGACTACGTTTGAAATAGTTTTTGTTATATGTATCCAAATACTAAATGCTTGTCATAACAAATTTATCCCAAATATGTTTTATGTGCATGGCTTTGTGTTCGGCAAGTTTCATCTTTTAATTTTCATCATTTCTTTATAAAAACACACTCCAACCCAGGGCTCGAATTTTATCGCGGCAATTGCCGTAGAGGGAGTACAAAATGCCGTGGATCATTGCGGAAACGACGGCAATTTTTTGCCGTATAGTATAATTTTTATACTATTCACTAAATTACTATATTAACAATAAAATTAAATTTTTGTTACAGTAATTTGAAAAAATGCCGCGGAAACTGCCAAAATTGCCGTAGACAGCTGTTACGTTCTACGGCAATTTTTAACGCCATTGCCGTCGATTGATTTCAGGGAAATTCGAGGCCTGCTCCAACCTGCACATTGCGTAGTCAGTTTCGGTGCTTTGTTCTTGATTCTGTTTCACAACACAAGAATGTGATTTTTACGCTGTAGCCAAGGTCGCTACGGTGAAAAGTATGCTCTGGGGATATGTAAATTTTGCCAGTGCCTCTGTTAAAGCAATGCAAACACAAGCCTTCAACCGTACTCCGTACCCGTAGTTCGTTATCGGCATCTTAAACTCCCTATTGTGTTTAACTATACGGCTCTGCGAAGGAGAGTGAAGTTACAAGAAGGGCCTTCGCTCGAAACATCGAAGTTCTCCTTGTATTTTTCAGGGAGTTGCATGGATCCGAAGCCATCTTATTTTTCGCGCTGCCTACTTCAAATACAAGCATGGAGGTACCAGGGGATCCTGAGGAATAATTGTGCAGTCAGGAAATAAAACTCTCCACAACTATTGCGCAATTTCTCCCAAATATTGCGTAATTCAGCCGTTTTTGCCACCGAGCAAGAAGGATGCTTTCACAGAGAAAAATTTCGAAATATTTCACTTTATTTCTTTTGAATTGTGACGATCCGCATAAAATAAGTTTTACACGACCGCTTACAAGAATTGAGCGAAAAATTTCCACAGCGAAATCGTTCGAGGAAATCCAACTTTGCGAAGGAGGCTGTCTGTTACTATTCATTACCCTAATATCTGTTACCTGACATACATAAAGCAAATGTACTTGATGGCAATATGTAAGTTATTCACATTGTTAGCTTTTCGAGTATTAGTCAATCTTGACAGCACCATATATCTTCCTTATAAAATAGTACGTGGCGTAGAAGCCAATGGTACCAGTAAGAAGCCAGAACGTAAACACCATCGTTAAAGTATACACGAAGTATATAAGGGCAGAAACGAAACTCACAATCTCAAGCTGAAAAAGACGTAGAGTTAGGTTAAGGGGCTGTTTATATGAGATTAGCTTGCGTGGCAGGCCGTCAGCCGCAGGGGGCTGGGCTGACCATTAGCCAGGCAGGCTAATACGAGATGGGCTTGCCAGACCACACCTAGCCTTTTGGGTGGGCCTGCTCAAACTGATTATCAATTTCCCATTTGTAATACAAAATGACTGAAAAACGGCAAACTTTGCAAGGCTATATTATCCGCATTTTACAACATTTCGCAACGAAAGTTTGGAATATTACTAATTTTGTGATGCTCTTTCAAGCTGTGATGAAATTTTTGTCCAGACTTGTCTAGATCAAAATTTCACTCAAAAGGGAAAGGTCTATTACCCTTGGATAAGGAGGTCACCACAAGCTGGTAAAGAATAAGTATACTAACCTTATTGATGTAGTAAAAGATGGCATAAGCTAGAACATAGAATGAACACGAAGACGATGTCAAGAACGATCGCCACCACCAGTGGTAATCCTTAAATACAACAAAATGTAAACCCTCAGAAATTTGAACATGGTCAACTACTGTACAGAATTATTAAACAGAGCCACGCATGTAATCTCTCTGATATCAGTAGTAATAGCACAGTCGAACCCTATTAGCAGACACCTCTCTTAAACAGATACATGCATTGGTGAGGTCCAGAAAGGGTTCGACTGGAATTTTTTAAAAAAATAAATAAAATTAATTTTACAATTATAACAATTGAAGGCTCAGAGTCCTAAATTAAGTCCAGTCCTGCCTGACATGCATGCTACATTACAACACTATTTAAACTAACAAATTCACAGATTACACATCATTATAATGTTCATTACACCGGGTGTGGCTGCCCAATTCATCCGAGCCAGGGGTTATAAACTAAAGATCCTGGAATAGTCTCGAAATATCTTCAACATAGGAAGACGCACTTCCACACTCACCTCAGCACAAAGTTGGAAATAAGTAACTACAACGGCGATCAGCGAGCAACACATCGCAAGAATTATAAACACAAGGAACAAAAATCCGAACAAATAATAAAACTGATTTTCCCAGATGGCCTGAAAGAGTTTAAAGAAGTTTAAAGAGTATATCACGCAAACAAAATATCAGAATTAACATAATTAAAGCAATCGATGGACGACATACCGTTAAAATAAAGAACAGTTCAATAAACACAGCTCCAAATGGTAGAATACCGGCCATGAGATTGCTGGAGAATACATATACATAGGAATATTAATCTTGTACGGGTTGTTCCAGTGTATATAGGTAGGCTTCGCTATTAGCGGATAGTATTGTATATACAGATTGTTTATATATTTATTAATCAAATTTGATTTGGTTTCTGGCATTTGAAAAGGGAGTTCTGTCATTTGTAAAGGTAGTTCTGGCATTTGTAAAGGGAGTTCTGCTATTTGTAAAGGGAGTTCTGCCATTTGTAAAGGGAGTTCTGCCATTTGTAAAGGGAGTGCTGGCATTTGAAAAGGGAGTGCTGGCATTTGAAAAGGGAGTTCTGGCATTTGAAAAGGGAGTTCTGCCATTTGAAAAGGGAGTTCTGCCATTTGTAAAGGGAGTTCTGGCATTTGTAAAGGGAGTTCTGCTATTTGTAAAGGGAGTTCTGCCATTTGTAAAGGGAGTTCAGCCATTTGAAAAGGGAGTCCTTGCATTTGAAAAGGGGGTTGTGGCATTTGTAAAGGGAGCTCTGGCATTTGAAAAGGGAGTCCTTGCATTTGAAAAGGGAGTTCTGGCATTTGAAAGGGGAGTTCTGCCATTTGAAAACCAAGTTCTGCCATTTGAAAAGGGAGTTCTGGCATTTGAAAAGGGAGTTCTGGCATTTGAAAAGGGAGTTCTGCCATTTGTAAAGGGAGTTCTGCCATTTGTAAAGGGAGTTCTTGCGTTTCGGGCTTTCGAACAACCAGGCTCAGGTAGGTTCGGCTACCTAGCCTAAGAATTAAAGTTCTGCCCATATGAATATCATGATGTAAAAGTAAATTGTAGATTCAAATCTAAATAGTCTTACCTTGGTATGGGATGAACATACCAGACTTGCTCTGGTACTTGTCGTGGAATTTGATTGGTCCGCACAGGATGCTCATAAGGCTATACAGAATGATGCAAAAGCCATTGTTTGTGTAAAATTCTTTACAATGTTTTCACGCAAATACATATATACTTACATATTTTCTATAACCAAAGTAATATCCTAAGAAAACCAAAGGCAAAGATATTCCAAACCACATCAAGAGCAGTGCCAACATGGTTGTGAACGGTAGCTTCAGAAAGAAAAATATGTAAAAAAATTTAAGATGACAGTCTGTGTGTCTCTTGTCTTGTACGTGGCTGTCATAGATATATAAGATATCTATGGTGGCTGTAGGCAAACCACTGATGCAAACCAGTAATGAGTGAGAAATTCAACAAAACAAAAGTTTAAGATTAAGATTTCTGTAGCGCAAATTTCATGTGGGTATGATCAAATGCGCCTTACATCAAGTATTAAACGCTTCCCTAATGGACCTATTCCCTAATGAACAAAAGTTTGACAATTTCCTCACAGCTTGAAAGGGCATCACAAAATTAGTAACATTCCAAAGTTTCGTTGCGAAATGTTGTAAAATGCGGATAATATAGCCCTGCGAAGTTTGCCGTTTTTCAGTCATTTTAGATTACAAACGGGAAATTGATACCTTTTTTCAGAAAGCGGTATCAATTTCCCGTGCGTAATACAAAATGACTGAAAAACGGCAAACTTCGCAGGGCTATATTATCCGCATTTTACAACATTTTGCAACGAAACTTCGTAATATTTATCAATTATTGGACGAGGTTGAGCAAAATATCGTGATTTGTCGGTGGCGAGCAGATCAATTATTTGCCGATGCCGAAGGCAGAGGCAAATAATTGATCTGCGAGCCACCGACAAATCACGATATTTTGCGAG